TTTTTTTTTCTTTTTTTTTCTTTTTTTGCGCTCTCAGATGCAATTGAGTTTGTATTAGAGCTGTCACTCTCCAGTTCTCCACCTGTGCAGTTGAACAACTGAACTGGCTCCCAACAGGAGACGGACACGAGAATGTGTATCCATAGGTAAGACGAACCTTGGATGGAGCAGCACTTAACTGCCTTCAAAAGAGAGACATCAGAAAATCAGACCTCTTACACTGGCCATATCGTGACCCACATGAGGGAGGTCACCAACCTGAAACCTGCAAAGGGGCAAGGAAAAGCTCCCAGCAGGACAACTCATCCAAACTGGAGACCTGTAAAGGATTTGCTGGTGATGAAGGCATCCTCCGGAGCAAGCAGTCTCTGACCCTAAGGATGGACCAAGACCCCAGGAAGGGAGGACGCAGGCCTCCCGCCTGAGTAGCAGACATTATTGCAATTTTCTTCCTCCCAGAAGTTTAGGACACAGCTATAAACGAAGTTATATTAAAAGTGGCACATTCAATTAGGGCTTTTTATTACTATTATTTCCTTCATGTCCAGTGATTTTTCTTCCATCCTACTAGTTTTACTCTGCTGACAGGAGGCAGTCGCCTTTGTTCTAAGCACAAGTTCAGAAACATGGAGCTCTGCTGCTGTCCCAAAGCGTCTGTACAGTGGAAGGAGCGAGGCTGCGCCTGCTGTTCACGGAGGATTTATCACGAATGCTATTCTGCCAGGCAAAACCCAAGCATCTTGGCTATCATGAACTGGTATAGACAGTAAAAGTAAAGTAGATCAGAAGCAGGTCATTTCACTTACTCCACGACCATAAAACATCTTTGGAAGTTACATCCAGGCAGCAGCTGTTAAAAAATAAATAAATTAAAAAATACTGTTTACAAATGCTTTTACTACATCAGCCTGTTTCTTAGGCTTTGCCTCTGTCTCTGAGTAGCTGGTCACAGTATAGATGCTCAGAGGTGGGGATGCTCGAAGCTTCTCCCAGCCTCGCAGGCGATGTAGTGAGAGCCGGAGGCCTGCTCCTGAATTCCACCAAGTAAAGGCCACCCCAGACCGGCTCTTCACACTGAGCAGTGGTCTGAAGCACTGCAGGCTGCAAACTATTTCACACATGACCACAGACTTTGTCATTCTACATTTTGCAATGCATATAACATTCTGAGGCTGTGGTCCAAAGAAATCCAAAGGCCTCTGACACTTACAACCTTAGAAATTATCAACAGTCTAGGCAATTTTGCCATCCTGGTCACTTTACACAGTCTGGTACATCCAGAGGTTGTTAATTAACACATTTGTGCAATACCGTAATTTTACACAACAGTTTGATTTGACCCGTGTCAAAACAATCTCATATGTGACCCTACGCCTGCATAATGGAGACAGCTGGCTAATTATGTTCATCAGTATTTTCTTTTGAGCCTTTCAAGGCTGATTAAATGCGAAAGAAAAGTTTAAATTAAACTTGAACCCCAGGTTCTTTGCATTTTGTTTATGATTAGGCCCCAGAGTGTTACTGAACTCAGCACTCCTGATTTGTCACCTGCTAGGAGAAAACCAGTTGTGTGGATCAGCTTCATCGCAGTTTACACAGCTAAAGCAAGCACAAACTGAAGTATTTTCAGAATAAGGAACTTTACCTTGAAAACAGAGTGGGATGTATGTGTATATAACCCCCCTGAAATGACCTGTTCCAATTTTAGTCTTTTCACATGTATTAATACATACATAATATACACATGAAGTAGTTTTCCATTTAAAATTGCATTCCCCAAAGCAGCAGACAATAAAAAAATCATGTACTAAATTAAACCTATGTATTTGCAGACTGGAATCTGTCCTGCTACACAGTCCAAATTTACCTTATGCGTACACACAGCAGAGACGCTGTTTTCCCAAACCAGATAACAAATCTTTGGTTATGCCTTCTACTCAACTGAATGTCTTAATCTCCAGAAAACAACACCTATGCAGAGGTCTAAGAGGACTGAACCCACAGCCTCAGAAATCTTCCTGTATTTGTACTTTAGAAGTGTCATACAATCACTGTAAAATGAAATACTCTTCTTAAAACAAGCAGGAACTCCTTTCACAAATGCAATTTATGTCTGAGGGGAGTGGCTCATATTTTGTTTTCAGCAACTGTAATAACACTGATCAGTCAGTGATATTATAATGTATGACTTGTGTAAATCAATTCCTCAAGCTTCTATTTCAATGCATACGTAAATATAACCACTTAACAATGTGAAATCAAAATTAATACACATTTCTGAAGCCTACAGAAAATGAGGAAAAGCTCCAACTACAACCACCCAGAACATGTGATCTGTTGTGCCGCTCGTCATTCAGGATGGTTCCTCGGGCTGGCATTTTGCACCTAACACTTTTTTTGAGACGGGTCTGTCTCAAAAGGTGCTGCTGCCAATGTGTTTGAGAAAGATGCAAACCGCTGAAACCTCTGCAACTTATCTGCCAGTACCTTTAAACACGCAAGGCAATCTTTTGTTGAAGACAAAACTTGAGAGCTCCCTTTTATAAGGGCTTTGATATTCATTTACACACACACTGTATTTCAGGGGGGAAAACTGCTTACAAATAGTTAATTAGTTAGAACTAGGCTTTGCTGTAACCCTACAAATGAGAAATTCATACTTGTCATGCTGCTGTAACATTTTAGCTTCTCTGGCAAAAAGCATACGCACACTTTGAAGCTCTTTGCAAATGCAGTCACACCAACAACCTACATTTTACTACCCACTAGCAAGTGACGCCGCTAAGGCCAAGTCAAAACTACTTTAGTCATACAGTCTTAGATTAGATGCTGACTTACAGCTAGACAACTGTAGCTTGATATCTAGCACCAAGAAAACAAAAAAAGGCAACAGATCACAACACGCAGCAAAGAGCAGAAAAGCATCGAGTGGAACTTGACTCAGAACATACCTCGTGGGAAGGGTCCAAAGCTCTGCACACTTCCGCTTCTCATGGGGGAAATCCAAGTGCAAGCAGATTTTAATCACACACTGTGACTGGTAAACGGTTAGCTTAGCTGCTGTGACCGCTTGGCACCACGCTACATAACACAGTACAATCACTCACAAGGAAACAAGGCTGGATGCTACAAGCGGAGACGGAGAAGTGCACATGCGGGGCTGGGTAAGGAAGCATGCAGTAAGTCTGCGTGAACCCTGCCTAGACACTGACAGCGCTACCTTTCATTAGCGGCCGTTTTTTATTTTCAGAGTTTATTTAAATGCAGTTTAGCTTCTACAGAAAAAAACCCACAGAGCAGGCAAGCTTGGCACCAGCTCCTGCTCTCAGCAGACGGCTCCGCACAAGACCACAGCAAGCCGATTGCTGGGCCCTACGCGGGTGGTGAGCCAACGTGAGCAATAGCAGGGGCTGCAGGAAGCTATGGAGAGCACCAGAGAACATACCTTCTTATGGATAACGGAGGAAGTGGAATTAATTGTGCTCTCGTCACTATGCATCACGACCAGTTCGGGGCTGCTCTCATCGAGGACCTCCTGCATGCTGCTCACGCTGCTGCTCTGACTGCCTGTGCTCACAGACATGCTTGGGATGGAATGGTTGCTGCCCAGACTGTCCATCTTCCTACTCAGGTTTGATCCATGCTCACTGTCCTATAAAACAAGGGGCATCAGTTACAAATACTGCAGGGGATCGCCTGCCCAGAATGTGCCTGCAGTGCCCAAAGTTTGTTTTAAAGGCGACTCTGCAGAGTTAGAGGTTCTTTGCTCATTACTTTGGCAATTGCGTTTCTCAGGGCTGACTGGGTTACAAAATACTCCATATGGAGCAGTTAGCTTTTGCATTTTCCCCTGCAACCTTACTACATCAGGCTTCAAGCCAGTTTTTTTCCACATATCAGTAAATCTGGGCATGGCTCTTGGACTGAATAGGAGACATCCAGTAATACTGGATGGCTGGTGGAAGGAGTCTCATAATTAAAAGGAGCGATCTAAGTCTGTATCAAAGCGATGTTTCAGGCCAGGATATGCTATGACACATTTTGTGAATCAGAAAAAAAGGAAGTCAATGAACTCATTTGTTTATTATTCAATAAATATCACATGGTGCTTAATAGGTGTAGAGGTTTTAACCTCCATGTTCCAAGCAGGCAGCAATTACATTTTGTCAAACTAAAAACCCCTTTAACCTTCTGTTTTCAGCCAAGATAAATTCTTCATTCACCTTTAAGCAGCTGACTCAGAAGAGCCTGCATTATTACAGTTATTAAAACTGTTGTAATCTACTTAGACATACATAAATAAATATTCCTCTTATAGGACACAGTTTTGATTCTACTGACAAATACCAGAAGTTAGCAGCGTTTTTTCTTGTTGCATACTCACACAAACACAGTAATCCCAGAGTATGCGCTTAACCTGGACTGATTTGGAGAATTTATGGAGTCCTTTGTAATTAACTAGTGGCACTGAGGAGGCTTGCAAGGAGATCACAGTGAGGACCGAGAACTCTGAACATCCTTCAGCCCTTGATCCAAAATAGCCTTGATCCATCAAAATGCATGGCTTGCTACTGCACCCAGTTTATCCTGGCCTCCAAAGTGAGCACGGGGAGAATAACATTACGCATCAATTAACCGGGTACTCATTTTGTTGGAAACCAACAGAAAGATAAAACTGATAGACTTGACAGATTTGTGTTTGATTGTGTGATTATTTTTTAAGCAATTAGCATATGATTCAGGGCCTGTGTAAGAATACTTAAAATCCAAAATAATTCTATTTTACAGAGAACATGTGCACAAGAGAATGAAAATATTTCCAGGATGCTTATATAAAGTTACAGAAGGAATAACATAAGGAAGCACCTGAGATGAGGCTATGGCTATGTAATTAATGAATGTATGTGCACAAAGGACTGAGATGAGATTGCAATATGCAATCTTAACACTGACTTCCTGACTTGAATACTTTTCAAACGACCTTAACTTTCTTGCAAGAGCTCTGAGAAAAGCATTAGTAATCTTTTGAGTGTCAGAGATTTGTAACGCTCCTTTTCCACCTTAGAAAGTCTAGGGTCTTGTGGCATCTACAGCTGAGCAGCTTCTGTTAACCAGTTTGGTAGTAACTAAAGCAAGCGCTATGTTTTCCTGTCACTGCTAAATTAGTGATACACACGAGCACATAACCCTCTTCCAGGGTACACAAGCTCAGTAGTAGATGCAGTGCAGAACATGCTGTGCACATGCAGAGTGTGAGATTCATTAGAGTGTTAATTCCTAGTGATACAGTCTCTTTTCTTCCCCCTTTTTTGAGAGGTGGGAACAGGAGGAACAGAAGATATGTCTTGGAGTCAACTGCTACCACACGTATCCCACTTAGCTGTTGGGCTTGGATCTGCTGAACAGGCAGGTGGGAAACACGCTCCCTTGCGTTTTCCTACCCTGTCACTCTCCTCACAGCTTTTCACATATAGGTAGACAAAACTTGCAGGATTCAGTGCAAAAATCTGACAAACCCCCCCTTCTCCCTGCCCCAACAACTAAGCTCGAGGCTTTGAAGTTGGCTAGCTGGAGGGTTAGAACAGAAACACTTCGTAGCCTTAATCACAGCGGTTGCTGTTCTTGCTCCAGTGCATCTCCTTCAACGGCAAGGACAGTGCCAAGTCCACTCCTCCTGTATGCTCTCCTACCCGACACCCAGGCTCGCCTGCTTCTTAAACCAGAGCTCTAGTTTAGCCTTAAAGGAACATTTGATATACACAAACCTCAAAACCAAGTCCCCAGATATATGCTGAGCTTGGGCATCTCACTGCATACTATCTTCCTGTACCGCAGCAAAAAGGAATACAAGCATCAATTTGCCTGTCTCTTTTCATTGTTGAGAACCAGTCATGGATTTATTTATCCGATGTCCCTCTACCAAATGACATTCATTTCCACCTAATCTCATCAATTGAAAAACGACTGGTTTCCTTCTCTAAGCCACAGCTAGCGTCAATTATCATACACTGATTAAGTGGGTTGTTTATTATAAGGTTTAAACTGAAGTGGAATTTTTCTTCTTAAATCTTTTTTTCTTTAATATTGAAGAATTTAGAAAAATAAATCTTACTAATTGGTGATTTGCTTTTCAGCTCACGACAGGTCAGTTACTTTACAACAAAGTTATGGTAATTGAAAAAAATATTAACATTAATCAAGTGGTCTTGACTGCGCTGCTGAGACTGAAAAGCTTGGATTGCCAACAAACCCTCCTTCATACAGGCTTTGAGCCACTTTCTTCTCACAGAGAATCTCCTTCCAAAAGGGTTTCTTCCCTAAAGCTTTCAGAGGAAAGGCCACCCCTGAAACAACCCAAAGTTTTAAAAGTGCGAACAAATGCACATCTAACACCAAGTAAAGGCTATCGTCACTCATTATCCTACCCTGCACCTCTGCTGATCAAGGCGAAATTCCAGCAACACAGATCACATCCTCACCTAGGCTGTGTTTGTTCTGCACATCCCACTTCCCCTAAAATTGTTTGTAACTCTGCAAATGAGGTAACAAAATAAAAGTACCTCCTCCTCTTCTTGAGACTCGGTCAGTGGGCCATTCCGTGTCTCTTGGAAAAGGATTTTCTTCATTTTCCGGTACTGAAGGTTATCCAGTTCACGTACTGCATCTTTTGTCCGTTGTATGAGATCTATTAGTACCCTTGGTGGTCGGTCTCGGCGAACAAAATCGTGCTAAATCAAAGGAAATAAAACACAGGGTTTCAGACATGACACTCATATGTTTGATGTCAAAACAGGGACACTGTGACTTTTCTGAGACACCTGAAATGACAGTTCCTACTCAGTAATTGGTCTGTTCACACTCAACAATTAGTAATGCCCATTATGAGAGACTCCAAACACACTCCGCACTGAGTACGCTGACTGCGCCCACCACTGCATCAAACAACCAAACCGATCGCGCTCTGCGCTATGGCTTGTGAAGCGCAGGCTGCAGAAGGTTTTGTTCAGAAGTCAGAAGATCTGCTTAAGCACCGAATATGACCAAATGCAGAGTACAGAGCAGTGAGGCAAAGCCACTTCGCTACGTCAACTGCTGTGCGTGTGTACGCGCGCGCCCAGGCACATCAGCAGCAGGAGAAGCTGGGTGGTGGATGGAGAGGGCTGAGCCTCGGGCTGACCCTTCGCAAGCTCTCTTTAGCCCTCACTCCCCGACTCACTTCTCTGAAATGAAATGGTTTGGACCAGGGTCAGGTTTTTCGAGTTCTCCAGGCAACACAGGTGATTTGTCCCTTCCTAAGCTCATTCACTTGAAGCATCCCAGGTACAAGACGGTGCCACTTCAAACCTCACAAAGGCACAGGACTTCAGGACGAAAATGCATAAAGGACAAAGAAGAATCGATCTTGAACATGCAAGACCACCTGCCTAAGCTACATGCAAGGATTCACCCTGCGTCTATCTATTCCATTTCATGCATAAAACCAGTAAGTAGACTGCAAGGTTTGGGGTTGTTTTGTTTTTTTTACACTCAAAACATTTGTAGCTAGAGTTAAAGTAAAACCATGTTCTCCTCCTGCTAAGGAGGTACTACAAGCGCAGGTTTTAAGTGCAGGCTTCACAATAAATTCTTCAATGGAATTTAAGCCTGTGATCCAAAGCTTTCCTCTGACTTAACAGATACATTCTCCTGAACTGGACGAGCACGAAAGCCTTGCAGCCTTCCCATTTAACTTCTGGCTGAAGTGGACAGCCTGGCTATGCACTTGCCAATATTCTACATGGTATCACTACAGCTGGGTATGTTGCTTAGGATGTACCGCGGGAGATGGCCTGAAGGCACAAGCATCTTCCACACCCTTCTAGAAACATTAACAATGAAAGACAGAAACAGGAGAAAGTTACTCGCTGCCTTGTACTGCAAATGCCATGACGGCCTTTAGTTAAGAGACCCTCAACAGCTGGACCCCCCATGCAAAGAAATCCTCCAGAGGGTCAGGTCTGTCTCCACTTGCCCTCGCAGCTCTTTCCACACCGGCGAGCTCAGGGAACAGCATCTCTACCACAGATGTGTTGCCATTCCTCAAGCTCAGGAACCAACAGACTGTAGCTGAAGTAACCGGTACAGGAAACCCAGTCCTCCTCACAACAAGAGTCTCACCCACAGAAAAGCTGAAAGGATGAGCTGATCTTCTTTCACTGATTTGTAAATAAACACAGATAGTACCATGCCACAGGCTTATTTCTTGCTTTGAATTGAATTCAAACTGTTGTGCATTTATGTTTTGCTAATGGGGATGGCTAGTCATTTCACTATCAATTTTTTGCTAGTAGTGATGGTGTCTGTTTTTGAATTATAGCTAAAAGTTCTAAACATCATTTCACACAGAAGCAAAACAAATCATTTCTGCTTCTCAAAGCAAGTAACCACCATTTATTTCTCTGTAAACAGCAACAATCTCCAGCTTATCTATGATTAGAAAAAAAGTAGCCATTTTTATCTCATTGTAGATAACTTCTCAGGAATGCATTTGGAAAAACGATCCTGAACTTAAATCCACCCTGTATGCCCAGCATCTACCTGTTTATGTATATTCTTCAGCACTGCCAATACTCCTTTCACTGGCAAGACTATGTGCTTCATATTCAAGCACTACTCAAATATCAGAATGCGACCACATGGAATCTGTAGGGCAGACGCACAAAAGTGGAAACTAAAGGCCTCTTCCATAACAAGAACGCAGTTCTGGCTGCTCACTTGCATTATCTAATTGTCTAAATTGCACATAAAAGATGTAGGCACCCCTCTGCTGGTACTGTGCTACTCAAAGACTTCATTTCATAGAATCACAGAATACCGGGTTGGAAGGGAACTCAGCAATCACCTGGTCCAACCTTTCTTGGCAACGATTTGTCTACTTTCTCCAAATTGCCAGAAAAAAAACAAACAACAACAAGCAAACAACAAAACCAAAACGGACTCAAGAGGAAGGAAGAGGATAGTCTAAAGGCATGTATCAAGCTGGCTGGAAGAGCGACCAACAGAACTCAAGTCTCCTGGAAATGTCATGCAAGCTGAGAAAAATACGGGAAAAGTGTTTAACACAAATTTTATAATTACTGTTAATTTTAAAAGTGAAAAATAGGAGTGAAATAGTTTTGGGGTTTGGAATTTGACTTTTATTTAATTTTCAACTGTATTTTAACATCACTACAGTAATTTGACTATTTTCATCTGCACTAGTGAATGGAAACTAAATTCATTCTCAAACACCTCATTTAACATTCAGTTCTCTAAGAAAATGTGGCCACAAAAGATTTGCTCTATCCCTGTTTACCATACACAACTGAAAAACCCTCAAAAGACAAAAAGATCTTCAATCTTACAATCTAACAAGCTTTAGGGAGAGCTAACGCAGGAGGGAACACCTAGGGTACTGTTCTGAAAGTCTAAAACCAAATAAAAAGACTGAAAACACACGATTTACGAATAAGATCTCAGCTCCAATTGTTTGCACAGACTCCAACCTAAGGTACTTCTGAAATCATATCCTTCAATGAACTTACGCCATTCCTAGAGAGCAGAAAGGCTGCCAATCCACATGAATGAATCATGCTGAAACACACAACATAAACCTATTAGCTGGCCAAAGGACTGTCAGGGTGCTGCAAGCAGAACCGGAGAACAAAACGCTGGTTATATGCCACAGCACAAATGTATCACAGGAAAAAAACAATATACCAGGCACCGAAGAGAGAGTGCAAACAAGCTCGTTCATCAGCCTTTACCTGAAGAGCAAAGGCATGAAAGTTAAATATTCTATATGGTCCAGGCTTAAAGCAAGGACAGCCGCGAGCGCAAAGCTAGCTGCTCAGTAAAGAGCGCAGGGTTTCGATTTCTCTCTTCAAGAACCAAGAGGCTCAGAAACATCCATGAAAATGCATTTTACTGAGCTGAAAGAGGAACAAGAGAAGCCATAAAACAAAGGCTGAATGGTAGCCTTAGAACAAAAATCAGCATGAAAAGGCTGTCAGGTAGACACAGAGCAGCAATCTAACCTACTGTGGAAATTAAGCAAAACACTCAATGGAGCTAGCAATTCCTCTACTCAAATATTTAAGGAAAAACTGAGTCTTGTTTACCTGGTGTGGAACAGCAGCATGCCATGCAATTCTCACCAGCAGCTATGTACTGCAACCAGAGGAATAGCACGGCCACTAATCAATTTTAAAGAAACGAAATACTTAAAAGCAAAAAAAGAAAGCCTGGTGGAAAAGGGGCTGGACAGGGTTTCACATATCCTTACCTTCTACCCGAAGGCTGCTCTTGAATTTCCCAAACACAAAGCCCTTGGGTTATAAGCAGTTCCTCCACTTCTCAGGTAAACCAAAACCCAACCACTTCAACTGGCACCGATTTCTGATTCACTGACAAAACTTTGGCACACTCTGCACACATCACTCCCGGCACAGGCTCCCCTCCTACAAGCTGCTGGCAATCATGAACCCATACAAGGCACTTTCCAAAACAATACAGTTATTTCCAAAACAAGTTCTAATTAATTGGGTTCAGTATAGGAACTATGAAAGGGATGTAAAAAACTTTTGGTTTTGGTGGTTTGGTTAGGGGAAGAAGTTAACCTAGGCCTATCCTGTTAGTGCTATATTTAACAACTAAGTATGATGCATGGATACAGAAATGAAGCAAATATAAGATGCTAATGAATATAGAAAAATTGCTCAAACCCCTTCTAGGACAAAGAAATTACTGGAAAATTAACATCAGAAACACAGATAGAAATATAATATTGCATGACTAGAGAGAGAAGTTGGAAAAAAAGTAATGTCTGGAAATACACAATAAAACCAACAGATGCAAAGTATGTTTGGAAGCAATAGTATAAGGAGGGATCTACAGTTGGCACTAATCAGTAAATTGGTCAGGACTTCTGCACCAGACAGCAGTCAAAAGAACCCAGCATCAAAACCTTCCACCATAACACCACAGAGCAGAGCAGAGCCAGCCCTTCCCAGCTCCAACATAACCACACCTGGAGTAACATTTCATGATACGTACATCAGTGCCAGAAACGCCTGTCCAGCCAGAAGAACTTCAGACAAAAAAACACCCCAAAACGTGGATCAGAAAGGCCCAAACGAATGATTTCACTGGATAAAGAACTGCCTAAATGGCCGCACACAGAGAGTGGTGGTGAATGGAGTTAAATCCAGCTGGCAGCTGGTCATGAGTGGCGTCCCCCAGGGCTCAGTCTTGTTTAACATCTTTATCAATGATCTGGATGAGGGGATTGAGTGCTCCCTCAATCAGTTTGCAGATGACACCAAGCTGGGTGGGAGCGTTGATCTGCTTGAGGGTAGAAAGGCTCTGCAGAGGGATCTGGACAGACTGGATCGATGGGCTGAGGCCAACTGTATGAGTTTCAACAAGGCCAAACGCTGGGTCCCACCCTTTGGTCACAACAACCCCATGCAACGCTACAGGTTTGGGAAGGAGTGGCTGGAACGCTGCCTGGTGGAAAAGGACCTGGGGGTGCTGGTCAACAGCCGGCTGACCATGAGCCAGCAGGGTGCCCAGGTAGCCAAGAAGGCCAGCGGCATCCTGGCTTGGATCGGGAATAGTGTGGC